AGTGTGTCTGTCATTCTTCCACTAAACCAACATTGCATTTACATGGACTCAGTTTACTTCATGAAAGACATAAACAGGACATATGTTGCTTGGACTGAGACTTACCAGGTACAGGATTCAGCAGTTTCTGCAACTTCCCATGTACGCGGTTTGTCAGAATAACACATTATCATGAAAGTCCTGACCCCTGAAAGCACCAAGTGTCAAACAATCCCCATTCCCAGCTTGGAAAAATCTGTCTCCCTCTGCCTGTAATGGAATAACGTCAAGACACGAGGAGTTACCAACAGGAGCTATGGGTCTTCTGAAAAAGCCCAGAATCATCCATCACCCTAGGGATCCTCTTAGAGACCTCTTAGCTGTAGCTGCTTAGCCTAAAATGGTGTTGGTGAGGAGGCTGTAGACAGGATGGACATATGAATCCATATGGCAAGTCTCCTACCCCTGTGCTCTGGAAACATGAACACGGAGTATGACAAGTCTAACATCCCAGAAGGAGGTAAATATTTGAAATCAGTGCTGCAGCCGGTGTGTCTCTATCTAGCATGTATACATCATGAATTCATTATGTCCTTAATTCAGGGTATGAAATTCAGTGTCTTTATCTGCTAAAGGCTCTTTATTCATCTCCAGCTAGCTGCTAACTGTGTCCGTCTGCAATTTAGTGCGGGGTCTAAAAACGACCCTACGAGAGTGGTAAGAGTCAACCAGGAGAGTTAAATTGAAATCCTGATCTTAAACCACATATAAAGCTCAATAATGAAAAGGATATGTTTCATATTCAGGTGATTAACTTAGCTAATCTTCTGTTAATAGCTTTAAGTGCTGTATTATTTTCATACTAGTTTGACATGCTGATAAATAGACCTTATAATGACGTTTTTTATTCATTTGTCAACCCACTGCTCTAAGGTCGAGACTTATTATATCCAGTCTCATCAGTTTTAGTATCTCACATATTGTCTAAGTCTGTTTAAACCCAAGAGGCCCCGCAATCAGCTCCGAAGACGCGACGTGATCATTACGAAATACGAAATGTATTCTTGAAAAACAATGGACAATGCTGGAAAATGAAATACTCTTTTTGATCAATCATTATATAGTGGTGGACAGTGACAGGTCAGGGATAAGTATTGTCAGATATCTTTTGGATTACAAATATAAAATTCAAATATGATGAAATATCTTTTTTCCTAAACACACCACAAAGTAATTTAATAATGGATATGCCAAGATATAAACAAAGCGATCGAAGATATGGTTGCACAATTCTCATTCTCCCATGGAGTTAAAAAAACAGCTTTGGCTTGTTTGTATTTCTTCAACCAAATCTACCATGTCCAGTAGAAAAACATGAAAATGTTGCAAAATGTCTTATCCCACAATGAGAAAGTGATAAAAAGAAAAACCCTCCTGAATCTGAAATCTTACAAACAAACATCTAAACCAACCAATACAAACAAAAGGACGGGTGACAACATGACAGCTTGGCGTAGGTGATTAATGTGGGCATCATGCAGAAATGAGCACAGCACAGTCTACATGTTGGTCTCCGTTACACTTGAGCATAGCTTCTATCAAGTTCTGTAGGAGCGTAACACTGCATATTTCAGTGAATGGTACTTTATTTGAATTCAGTGTATTTCCTTCCCAAACAGCCTCAGTCAGACAGGTGGTGATCTGGATGTATTTCTCGAACCTCACAGCCAGTTGTCTTCAGCTCTCCACATGCATTTAAATCTGCAACGCTTCTCATTCTGACTCTGCAGCTCCGTCAATATAAAGAAAGGCCATCTTAAAGCTTTAGCAATTCCCATGGACAGAGAAGCGTTAACCCTTCATGCTCATTAGCCACAGGATCGGGATTTGAATAGGACAGGTGTCCACTGGGCCGAAGGCAGAGCTGGTGTTAAAGGGATAGTTCACAGGGGTTTTACTCCAGTGTGGGCTGCTGCTGTATGAAGAGAGCTCATGTCCAGATATCTGATTTGCACAACAACACAGCAGTTAAAGGTATAGTTCACCCAAAAATGATAAAACACTCTTGTTCTACTCAGCGGTATGCCGATGGAGGGGTGGGTGAAGTGTTTGAGTCCACAAAACACTCTTAAAGTTTCAGGATTAAACAACGTTGCAGCCAAATCCAATACAACTGAAGCAAATGGTAACCACTTCTTCAAACATAGTGTCTGGAAGCCTCGACATTCAAATTTGAAACAGCATCATTTTCACCGTATTTTTAGCACAAATGTCGACAATTGTGGGGAGTTTTGAGTGAACTGTCGTTGTCAGCAGCTGCCCACACTGGAGTTAAACTCCTGTCATTTTCTAAATACACTTAAACAGTGATGACGCTTGAAGGTCGATGCAGCTTCACTTGTCAGTGCAGGATGGTGTGCAGAGGTTGAATGTGTGCCAGTGGAACAGAAAAGTAATGGCTGACCTAACAGGGTTGATATAATTTCCAGACACAGTCAAATCAGTCATTTTATTACAGCAATGTCACATTCAGTGTCTCGTACTTCTAGTCCAGACCACACACAATTGTTTTTACTAGTAGGAATACTTTAAACCACCCGTGTGAATCATAGCTCTGTCAACCCACTGTACCCATCCACACCCAACATTATAAATACCGTTACTCAGCTGAGGTTTGTCCAAACTCTTCATTTGCGGATTAAAAAGAGTTCCCAGAAAGATGCCAATGCCAAAGAATAGGAACACGTTGCACACATACATGATTTGGCAAGAAGTGTAAGTGTTTTCGTAACCTGCTAATTTATCTAACTAACTTTGACTGAGTAGATTTGTGTGTCTGAACTTAATCAGACCATAGAGATGGTGGATTAGAATCCCTCCTGTCTCTGGGTTTTAGAAGAGTCATAGTTCACTTTATATCCCGGTGTTTGTTTAACCAGTCCACCCAAGATGTCATCATGAAACTTCATCTCGTCCAGATCCCCCAGAGATCACCAACAAATCATTTCACCATCACGTGAGTTCTGCTCTTTCACCCGACAACCGGGACTCGCAAGATGTGACCTCACTGAATTCTCATTTTCACCAACCCAGCCCCTCTGTCCTGCTTTATCCTCGAGGAGACCAAAACAAAAGATCTAATTCTGCTGAGTCACCACTGTTTAATTCAAAACTTCACTTTCTGTGGCTGGAGAAGCACACACACAATTTCATTTTTGGAAATCTGCTGCATCTCATTTAGTAGAGGTTGGGTTCTCTTCCTCAGGCTCACAAGTGTGTTTTAGATAATGAAGCATTAAAAAACGGCTTTTGATAAGTGAGGGGATCGTGTTTTCAGAAACCTGCTCTCACAGGCTGAGCTGACAGACTATGTATTTAAGAGAGCTATAAAAAAATGTGCACATCTGGGTTCCAGGCTCTGTAGTTTCATCTTTTCAGGAGAGATCTCATGGAATTCAGAGCATCAGGATTTTTTGTTTAAATGAACATTAACAGGGAATGACATTTTAATATTTCACAACCATGAAGGGTTCTAGATATTTAAAGACCTGTAGACCCTGAGACGAAGTATCCAGATAAAAGGACTAGGCTGGTGTATTGTTTTCTTCTTTTCAACAACAAATGCCTTAAATCCCTTAAATGTGTGAAGGTCTTCTGCACTAGTTTTGCCAACTGCCTGAAGATATTAGTGATCACCAGTAGATGTTAGCAAACACCTGTGGATATAAGGGATAAATGTGAACCTTACCATGCTCTATCCTTCTAGACACCCTCTGCTAATGCAGATCAGACCTGGGTTCGTGTCCCTTAACCTCTGGGGTCCCTTTAGGATCTTTCCTCTTGTTCTGCTCTGCAGTCTGTGAGGTTTCTTTTATGGTCCAGTGCAGGGCTTGTCAGTGGATTCCTAGATCTCTGAGCATCGTCATGGTGGATGGTGCAACAAAGCCCCTGCCGCCAACCTCCATTGGGAAAACTATTGGTGTCAATCCTTGATATTTTGCCTGAGATGCTTCCTTCTTTCATCGACAGCTCCCAGGTTACTGTCAACTGTCTGGTCTTAGGGTGGTGGAGACCATTTGTGATGGAGCTGCTGATCATCCAGCGTTTCCTAGTCCCAGGCTTGTTTAAACTGACCGCTCTGGTCAGTGGAGAACGCCCTCTCATTCCCCGTTCCCCCTCTCTCTGTGTACCTTCTTTGGGGGAGACTCACTTTACAACCAGTGAGGTTATGTCTGAGCTTAGCTGGAGTTGGTCATAGTGGCTAGGATGAACCTTCATTCAGCCACTGCTGAAGGTTTTGGGGTGTAAGATGTCATAGGCTGCTCTGAGCAGGAAGCTGTAAAAGCTGCTTGTTGGTCACAAACTTTGCAGAACGTTCACTTTACCAAAGAGCATCTGTCAGTTTAACTCATCCAGTCTAGCTGCGTGTTTTCATGTGTAATATAAATGAAAAATATATATATATTTTCATCAATTCAAGCTTATAAAAATCACACTGGATTTTCTTTTGACCTCAATGAAAACGAATAACTCAGTGTTTTGTGTCTTTTATTAAAAGACACAATTCATTGCTGTCATGAGAATTTTTTCATGAATTGCCTCATGGGCTGGATCAGACTGTCTCAGGCTATAAATGGCCCAGAGGCTGAACGTTCCCCACCGCTGCTTTAAACCCTCACATGGATCAAATCCTAAGGGTGAGGGTGTCTGAGTCTGAAAGACATCTATCCAACAATGCGTCAGGCTTACTGGGCAGGCACTGGCCAAGCTGGGTGTGTTATTACAGTGCAGCTGGTTCAACAGACCTTGAATCAACAGAATACCAAAGTGGATGAATGAATGCATTTTCATCGCTCATGCTTCGGTTGGAGGAGAGCTGAGATATCAAGACTGCCTCATCACATGTAATGGAAGGCTGCAGTTTCAGCACATATCTGATGCAGCAGATACTGAGGGACAAATCCAAGACACAACATATAGGATATCCCCCATGTAATAATGAATCATGATTCAGTTTATGGTTATAATCCCATATATATATTTTATTTAATGCCGATAGATGGATGTATACATAGTATACAATACAGAAGACAACTGATAAAAACAACATTATCTGTACATGGTGTGAAATAAAAGAATTAACTGTACAAAACCATCTTTTAGAATGGTTTAGTTGTCCCCCTGAACCAAAGCAGATTTAAAAAATGAACACTGAAATAAGTTTTGTGTTGAGGGGCATGATGAGATTTAAGGAAAATTTCACCTTTGAGTAATAGAAGTTATCTCCCATCATTCTGTGACGTTCAAAGAGCTTTTACCAAATATTTGTTAGACTGTTTATTTATTCTCTATTCTGAAAGTATGCTTCAAATATTTAGCTCCACCAAGGAGGTTATTTTTTCTGCCCTCTCCGTTATTAAAATAGGATTTATTTTATTTTTTTTTATACATTTTGACAAAATTCCCAGAGAATGATTCATGGATCTGGCAAAAAAAAGAAAAATCAGACATGTTTTGCAGACTGATATTTATGAGTGTGTTTAATTAAGTGCGTATCCAAATAAAAATTTGGATCTGGCAAATTTAAGTGTCATAATTTGGGCCTTGGCCGAGATACCACTAGTTCCAGCTCTGACTCAGTTCCAGCTATTTTGGAAACAATTGGAAAGATGACGAGTTGAAATCAAATTAGAAGAATCACATTAAAACAATGTAATGCCAGGATGGAAAGTGCAGAAGTATCAGTTTGCTAATTGATTTACTTGTTCGAGTAGAGTTTGCCAGTAGTTTTACCGAGGGTGTCTTTAATGGGGTGAATAAACATGTTGCCACAATATACTGCAGGTTTCACCTAGTTCACTACAGGAAGTTGGCACGTCACCAATCACTTCCTTTTGAAGGTTAAGACGTAGTGTCACAAGAACCATTGGCAATCAGGTATGTGTCTCCTGGCTGTCTTTCATGAAGTCTCGGCTTTCAACTAAAAAAAACTGGTCTGGTTCGGTTTCAGTTACATTTTCAGGTCTTGTTGGGTTCAGACACAAAATCTTTGGACCCTTGAAGAATCCTCTGACCCTTGAAGAATCCTCTGACCCAGTCATCTTGCCACAACAATCAGGACTTTGTCTAAGTCCCTCTCGTCTTTACACGTACCCACTTCTCCCGCATGCAACACAATGACTACGAGAACTAACTTTTAATTTATCATCTGATATAATGTACTCCAGACTCTGACGTGCACCTTTGTTATGGGATTATCAAAGATTTTTCATCTATGAGTGGCTATAATATTTTGCTAATAGAGTTTAAAGTCTTTGCCTTTACATACGATCAAAAGGAATTTTTCCATTTGTGTTTTTAAACCAAGTAATGCATTTCCTGTCTTTTATTGTGAGAGTGAGTTTATCGATTTGCTTTTTCCTCATCCAGCTGTTCCCTTTTCATGCTCTTTAGCAAACCTCAATGAATACATTGTGTTCTGCTGCTAATATAATCTTAATTATTATGATCATAGTCAATGACTGTTTGGATTATGTAATGAAAAATATAAATTTCACATTTTCTAGACCCCAACATAACATCTTCATATTGTTTGTTTTGTTCAACAGAGAGTCCAATATAAAGCTTTTAAATGTGAAACCAGTTCAGTTTTTGCTTGTTTTCTTCTCTGTTGATTCAATTGATTAGTTCAGTTAAGTGTTTCAAATCTTTACAGCCTCCAGGAGCTTTGAGTGTAACAGTCGGAAGGTAATTTTCAGGTGATGATGGAAATGTACAGCGATGGTTCTTTGAGGAAGCCACGCTCCTGTGCGGCTCATGCAGAGAAGTGTCTCTCACAGTGCTAAGGCTTTGTGGAAGGTTATAGCTCTTTGGCAACATAGAACACACAATACTACAGACAGAAACACATTACGATTGCACCATACAAACAGCCTACATTTACTGTATACACAAATTTACCTATGCAAAAAAAGTTTTTAGATATTTGGTCATTAGTATTCAGGGACTCTTTGATATTGATCCAATTGGAAAAAAGACCGTTTCAAGTGATATCATGTTGACTGTTTCATTTCCAAATGACATAAAGCTGTTAGGATGAAGTGACTGGCACCAAATCAAGACATCAATTCAAAGATTCAACAAAATGATGCAAGAACAGCACAGACTAATGATGTCTGGACTGTGGCAGATACAGTACAGTTTCACATATCGATCACTTCAGTGATGAGTGAACAAAACGTCAATTCACAGAAACCTGCTTCTGATAACAGCACAGTGTGGGTGTCACAAGCTTTCATCCATTCTTATCTCATCCTATGCATGGAATGATCAGTGTCTCTGCATCCTCTGCAACCGTCTCTCAACAGTTTACACATGCACGCATTGTGTCATCGTTTAAGGAAGAGGTAGACTAACAAAAGTCAAACCTGCCACAGTTGGTTTGATGTGCATTTCACTTTACAAGAAGACAGCTGTCCCTCTATTTATATGTAAACAGATCTCTGTCTTCAAACAGGAGCAGGAGGACAGGGCGCTGCCTGTCTTCTACTGTAGAGGGGACACCCCTGCAGACACAGTCAGACTGAAGTTGAGAGTATTTGCATCAGTTTGACTTCCAAAATTCAATCCCTGGACTGTGCCCGCTCTGCTCTAACATGGCTTTAGGTTGCAGAGGTCCAGTTCCTGAGGCTTCCTCCGTCCAGAGCAGTGCTCCCTGGGTAGATTCATACCTGTCTCGGTAATGCAGTGCACCAACCGCCTTTTGAAGCCCCTTCCACAGGACTTGGAGCAGTGAGACCAGGTACCTACATCCCACATTGGGCATGGATCCCCACATGGTCTCATAGCTACAGGCTTGTCGGTGCTGTCACAGTCCACTGCAGGACGCCCCTCCACGCTCTGGCACTGCACCAGCCTCTTCTGAAAACCGTTGCCACATGTCACTGTGCATATATCCCAATTTCCTGTCACCCAGTGACTAACCGGCCTCTTACCCATCGCTTGCTTCTTGACTTCTACTTTGTTGCTGTCCATCAGGACGCTGTTATGTGTTTTGTGGCTTCTCTCCTCTTTCTGCAGTGTTTTCTCCTCCTTGCTCTCCTTGGAGACGTAGAAAGAGTAGCGCACCCTGGGCGGAGTCATCTTCCCGACAGAGAGTACCTCCACAGTCAGGGGCTCCTGCAAGGGTCTGGTTGCCCGGAGAATCTCGATAGATGTGGAGGTGCCGCTGTAACGCAGCAGGCTGCCCTTCACCAGCAGGTCGCGCTCCACCGCTGACACCACATAGTTGCCGTTCAGGAGGTACGCGCCACGCTGATTCTTTACTGCTAAGTAGTTTTCATCGCTGACCATTCCTCGATAGCCGCGCTGACGGATGTCAATGTTGGAGGCTCCCGCTGGCAGCATCACCACAAAGTTGTAGCCATGACTAGAAAGGAGGGGGGAAATCATCAATTAATCATTAACAGTTGGAGGACAGTGATGTGATTTCTTAAAATTAGAGCACGTAAACGTTGAGTTATTACCCAAATTAAAATGATAAACCTGACCTCAAGCACAATATCTCTACTTCAAAAATGATGCTCCCATCATTAAAGCAGCTCATTAAACTGTATTTTCTGAGTGTAAGTGTTAAACACAGAAGTTACATTTTGGAAATAAAGCTCTTTGACTGAAACACTTCCTGTCCAGTTAAAAAAAACTAGTGGCAAGAGTTGGCCAGATCAACAGCCACAAAACAAAACAAAACAAATTGGTTATTTTTAGTTCTTACAACTGGAAACCTTAAGACACGACCAGATGGAACCAACTCAAAGTCCCTGTGTGAAGGAGGATATGGACAAGAAACCTTCATCCTTCCTAAGCAGATGCTGATTATAGCTGTTTAAAAGCTTTGACTTTGACAAGACTGTTGAGTCTGGGCAGTTTTAGTCATTTACACTACAATGAAAAGTAATAAATACATGATCATGTGAATCTGAAATAGGACTGAGGCATCATGTTTATATGTTTTCCCTCTTCAAAACATTTCTTGACTAAGGAATTTAGGGCAACAGGTAACAGATGCTGATCTCAGGCACTGAAACATTTGTTTTTTTCATAATTTACAACATGAAACATCAAAAAGAAGAAAAAGAAAAGATGCGTCTGATCAGCACATGAATTTTATTTTAATACCCAGCTGCTGATGATATCCGGACCCAAACTTTTTCATTATTAAGAGCCCTCTTACACACTGTCACTGAGACCTTGTCCTTTCCAGTACACTTTTCATCCCAGGAATAAAACCATTGCTTTCGTGTAACTTGTCACCAAGATGTCTGAACTAAATCTATTTACGGTGAGTTCTTTACATCTTGTGTCATTTGTTTTCTTTTCTCTTCCCTATAATTCCAAGAAGATCTTTAGACACCCAAGGTTTATTTACAGAGTACAACTTACACAGGTTTGGTGAACAGTCCTGAGACTTTCTTACAGCCCTGGTTGTCCCCGCCACACATGCCACACTTGTCAAACTTCTGGTTAGAGTCCAGCTTGCCATCGCAGCCTGCCTTGATGCATTTTCCCTGAACACATACAGCTGAGGTGTCAGGAGAGCAGGGCGTCCCATCCACAACCTGCAGGGTTTGAGATTAGAAAAGTTACATCATCCTGGGCTGAGGACATTGGCTAATATGTGAGTAGGACAGCGAGGCTGCAGATGTGGTCTCATTTTGACAAACACTTGAACCGTTACACATAAATTAAAATAATGAACCACAGAGAGTTGCAGTGTTCGTTAGTGTAAATGAGATGTGGACGTGTTGCTGCTACAAGCTTGTTTTCATGCTGGTTGCATAAATAGCTCTGTAGCCACAGCTGTGAGACGATACTATTCCGGAATGTTTCCCTCTCTGACCACTCCGTCCATCCTGCAGGAGCAGCCACTCTCTAATGCCACTAACACATCTCCACTCATTACGCTGTGGACACAATTAGCTGTTTCTTCTTGCACTGTGGACGAGGGCCAAGTCACACCAGGCCGACAGTTACTGTAAACACCAAACCAGGAAACTTCTGTGAACATGGAGCCGCTCAATAAATGTTTCGACTGCACCTCCCATGACGTTCTGACTCGTGCTGAGGTGTTCAAGGACAAGGAGTCCAGATTTCATTAGCCAGCACTGCAGCTCAGAATATTAAGAGAATGTCCGGGTGTCATGTCTCAGGTTTTTAGACAGAACTGAGTATGAGGACTTTTTTTTTAATGAGTAGAAAAGTGAGTGTGGATTTAAAAATGTGATATGAGGAATGTTGCAGTGAAAATAATAATTATACACACCTTAGGAGCAAGGACATAGAAGTACCCAGTACCGTTAGCACGGCAGATGAGCTTGCATTTGTCCTTGGGAGAGATGCCGGAATATTTGGGAACCCACACCACAGAAGAACCCAGTCTGTTGGTGTTCAGGTTTAAGCCGTTGAATGCCTCACACTGCTCCTCCCTGAAACTCTTACCTGGAGATAGAGAAACAAGCTTTGAGGGGATTGTACAGCTACTGCAGCACTGTTTACTGCCCAAGGCTGTGATTGAGTACTGCAACACTAATCAGGCGCTCTGTTCTTGATATGCAAGTTCTCTAATGTAGAGATCAGAATGTGCTGCTGTATAGGTTTCCATTAAATTGATAAATTAACTTAGAGAACAAATACACTGACGCCTCTACGGGTCTGTTGTGACTGAACTGAGGTCATGGAGTTGTGGAGTTGTGCCTGTGGGGTAAAGTTTTAGTGAATGGTCAGTCAGAGGCCTCTCTGTGCGTCTCTCTGTGTGAGCAGAGGCTAGCGTACCTGTTTCAGGGCAGAGGTTGAGGTTACAGGAACGATATTTGATGCGAAGGCCGTAGCAGTATTTGCCTCCATTCTCAGGGACGGGGTTGTTACACTCCCTCTTGGCGAGCTGAACTCCTCCACCACAACTGCGGGAACAATCTCCATATGCACCCCATTTGCCCCACCGGCCATCCACCTGCGGCCAAACAAAAATAGGCTGCACTTCAGTTGTGCCCATTAAATAACCAACGGCAACTGATGTTTCAACACTCACCTTGATGTGCATGGTGGCATTCTTATCAGCGCAGGCTCCTCTGTAGCAGACCTTGCCGTTGCCACAGCTGGTGCCGTCCGCCCAGGGAAAGTGTCGGGTTTGACAGACCAGCTGTCCCCGGGCCTTCCCAGTGCACCACAGTTTGGAGCAGGGCTGCATGTATGGGCAGGGTTTTGAGGCGGGTCCAAAGGCGAGCTCACACTGGCGGTGCAGGCTGTAGCTGGAGCCAGGCAGGTTGTCCGGGAGAGACAGCTGCCTCTGAGGCTGGTCCAGCAGACAGTCCCCTACAGAAACAACCCAACAGCACTGCTCTCAGTCACGCTGCACACTGTACTGACTCATACGAATTTTGAAATCCAGTGACCTCATGACTAAACATGTGGAAGTGTTCAAATATTTCTGTTCACAGTTTTTTGAGGCACTCGGTTGCTGCTGATCAGCCTTTTTGAAACATTGGAAATATTTCTGTTTTGACTTTGACGTGTTTCCAGCAGCAACAGGCAGATTTTGTTTAGATCTATTGAACCCACTGATATCTGTCAGCAGTCACACTGTTAGCATAAGAGCCAGATACTTCCCCCAGAAAAATAGTGATTATAATATCAGTGACAAAGATGAATAGACCAAATTCATATTGCATATTAAATTTCTCATCTGAAGCTGCGCCGCAGTCCTGCCAGAAAAGGCAAAACAGATCAGTGACACATTAAAACATGAAAGGTTTTTTCTTACAACAATATATTTTTGAGTGATTACAACATATAAACAAATCAAGAAACCAAATCTGTCATAGCAATTCAAACTTAATCTTGTTACAACATGAAACCTTTCACATTATAATATAACAAGATAATAAGATGAGCATATGCCAAGATTCTATTGGCTAATTGGAAATGCTAACGGATAACGGCATCATGTGAAGTTCTACAACTAAAATAAACATCTAATACTCAGCTCAACATCATGCATGAGCTACAGGAAAGCCCCCACAGCAACTTCAAGGCTGATTGACGGCAGGCTCACCACAAAAGACGTGGTCGGCACACCAGACGCACAGCCAACCATGATCATTTTCTCTTTAATCAAATTGTCCGAAATGAGAGGCGCCGGCGCTGTCAGGTCCGCTGCACCAGCCAGCGTGGGCATGAGTGTGTTTGTCAGAGGAACAGTGAGGACATGTCAGGCTGTAATGTCTGCACCTGAGTGAATATGACTGGATGTTAACGGCTGCAGCTGTGAGCGAGCCGCTCGCTGTGAAGCCTCATTTTATCCAAAGAGACGTATTAATGAAAACAAATAAGGACAGAATAGAAATATTTTGGGCCTTGAGTCATCCTACTAGGATGATGAGTAAAACTGTGACAAAAATGAGCCAATGTCTGTTTTCTTGTGGGTTAGATTACTACCAGCTGACAGCTCGAAGCCTGGACAGCATTAGTGAGTCCATCTACGTCCAGAGACATACACAGGAAGTGTTTACTAACCATGACCTCTGTCCAGGAACTCAGTAATGATGGCTGCGCTGCAAACAGACCAGGGTCGGCTCCTGTCAATCTGAATCAGCGTGGGAGACATCATGTGGTTGTCCTTCAGTTTCCCGAATACCTCCTCGCATGCCTTCACATTGTCGTGGGGCATGTTGAAGACGTGGCCTGAGGAGGGAGGGTGGGGTGGGAACAGAGACAGATGGTCACACCGTTGTGGGACTCAAGTAGTTGCATTTAATGTCATACCATGATGTAATTAGTTCAGCGACTGGGCGGATACAGGGAAACTTCTGCATGGACACATATGTATGAGATGTAGAAATGTGAACTCAACTTGGACTGAATTGGAGCTGATATCACAGCCGACAGGAATGCGTGGCATATGTCCATGCTCTAAATCTGGTCTGACAGGGGAATTTAGTTCCCCAAGAAAATTGTTTCATTCCCTAAATACGGACATGCAGTACTTTCCAAAAGAAAAAAAGAACAATCATAAACTGCGGTTTCAGCTTATACAATCATGAGACAGGACCCTTCCGAGGGGAAATTGTGTCATTATTTAACATATACGTGGTCAGTGTAAATCAATGCCTCCCTCGGGGCCTCAGGAGTTACTTGTGCATCTGGTCCCAGGTATGAGTCCTGCTTCTTTTACAGCCCCATCGACCACTGATTGTTGAAAGTGAGAGTGAAACTGTCACTTGTATTATTAATAAGGATTGGCCTCATAGCGTTAGCAGTGAGTTAAACTACAGCTGGCTAAATACTATGCATTAAACTGCATCAAAAAGCACAGGAGGAAGGATTAGCAATGTTCAACTTTAGTTCCTTTTCCATTTTACCATGTTGCACATATAAATATATCAGTCTACATCACTGCTACCATACATGAGAATGGTCGTTCAGTTAATTCACCCTATAGTTCAAGGTGTACTGGGAACTTCTTCACCGCCAGGAGGCCATAAATCTTTTTACTCACTTCTGAATTCAGCATGATGTCAGATTTCAGATCGATCCAGCTGGATCATACAATACTTGCTCTAAACACATGAACCATGACACAGACGATGTGATTCTGTTCAACAGTTGGTAATTGTAGCTAGTTAATTAGCAATAACACTAGAAACAGGAATTACAAATAATAGTTTAGCATTTTAGGGAATGGTAAGAGTGAGATGAGAGAACTGGTGTCATATCTCATGTCTGTGGGGTAAAGAACAAAGCTGCAGCCAGGATGTGGTTAAACTGAAAAACACTGGTAGGAACTTATAGAAGAGCAATTTTGATGCAGTTATACCTCTGGTGTCATTTCAACATGTTTGTCAGGACATTTTCCCCTAAACCATCAGTCATTTCTCTCTCTGTGCTGGTGTATTTAGATGGATAGAATGTATAAATAATCAGCTTTAGAAGGGCAAGTGTATTTTATAAACATTGGAGACAACAGGCTCGAGCTGCTTCTCCTCAACTTCCCCGCTCAGCAAACAAGTCCCGGCCCCAACTCCTTCTTAAACAGGCTGGAGTCGAACCCACCTCGCCCTTGGAGTTGAAGCAAAATGTGAATGTTTTCAAGCCACAAACACAAATCAGCGCCTTTTCCACCAAAGATGTCAGAGCTCTGTGTGTCTGTAGTTTAGTGGCATATTAAATTCACAGTTGCGTGTAAATTTCACATTTAATTGCATCACAGTTCAGAGAAGTCCAGAGAAACGTTGACATAGTTTTGGTGTAATTTTTCTTTCTTAAATTGTCCCTTTCTTCATCTGCCAAAACATTACAGCTGGAGCGTACGTGTGTGGGTTTATGTAGCCATGTGAATATTGGGGCTGAAGTTCTTTCAATTTTCAAGATTTTTTTCTAAAACGTATCTCTCTCTTGCTGTTTGCAGCTGCCAGTGTGCAGAGTTACGTTGTGCAGCTGGTATGTGGAACATGCACTGATCTAAACCTTGGCCTGTGAGACCCAGACGTGTGCCCGCCCAATCAGAAACTACTTCACAAACGAACATCAGGTCAAAGTGATGAAATAGCTGGTGGGACTAATAACCCTGCAGAGCTCTGGGACCAGGTCTGAGAACATGTAGATCGTGATGAAAGTTGCAGAGCCCTCCAGGCAGACCTGATTACGTGCACATGTCAAAGTGGACTGCAGAATTCCTTTGACATTTTGAGTTGAGGTTGTATGAAGCTATTGCCTTAAAGCCAGTGGTTCTCAATCTGTGTGGTGGCCACCGCTGAGAGGGGCACAGAGCCACTGTAGGGGGGGTAATTGTGTGTGTGTGTAGCTACCTCAACATTCACACACACCTACACTATACTATTACGTTTTCATTTTAAATGGATATACCTGATGTCCTCACTACTCCAATGTTTTAGAGCCACTAAAAGAGAGAAGTTTGGAAACACATTTTATTCTGGACGGGCGGAAACTGAGAAGCTTAGAAACGAAGACGTAGACACTCACAACTGCTTGCTGATTGGGTCTTTTCGGTAATGAGGTAACTTTGCCTGATTAGCTCCCATCACTTGACCCCTGTGCCACAAGAAAACTGAAGCTATTGGCCTCAACTAACTGCACTTAAAGTCTGCATTTGGCAATGATACAACTGCTTACATGTGTAGGAGACGATTTATTATTCGAGCAATCTGCGACAATTCTGCAACTAAAAACCAAATGCTTCCTGTTTACACCAGCCTGCCCATGCCCAGTGTGTGTGACATGTGTTTTCAGGTCTGTTATGGATGAAGATTAGAACAGAGACGGCGCGCTCATGTGGAGAGAGTTCCTTTCAGTTTGAAAACATTGGTTCCTGGGGAGGGGGGGGGCAATATTCATGGTGAGTGTATTTAGGAAAGTGGGGGCACAAGCTCTTTTCTCCCTCTGAAGGGGAAACATACCAGATCAAGTCTGAGGACCACTGTCTGAAGCATATCTCCGTCTGAGTCCTGCTGCAATTCAACTGTGTATGAGCTTTAATCTAAAATGCACAGGAAATCATTTACACATTCAAACTTACACCAACAATCGACATTTTCTAACCTAGTTCGTGGGCAGTGGTGAAAGCCGAGGGAAGGCCGTCATCCTCGATGACAGAGCAGCTCCTCTTCGGGTCACACATGGTCCCGACGTCAGCCATCCCCAGTGTGTCGCAGGTTGTGGCCCCACAGAGATCCTGGTGACAAAGACTTAAGAGTTAAATGAAAAGCCTTTTCTCTTGTAAAATCTGATAGGACTCGAGCCATGTTTTACACGTTTCGTGTGGTTGAGCTGAGAGTTACAGAGTGAATAGAGCGTAAACGGCACTAATACAAAGCACATGGGACTGTGGTTTGCTTATTGCTGCTCGCTTCTTAAAATATATTGAAGCAGGGAGTCAGGGGAGATGGCCCATTACAGATTTCCCCTCGGTGTTTAGGTAAGAGGTAAGAAGATAGTTTGGGAGGACTAGATGTGTCCCACCTGCAGCTCACAGCCCAGGGTGAAGTAAAACCATGTCAGCTCGGCTACAGTCTTTTCTTTACGAGACACTGTTTCCTCTTTTATCCTTGACATCCCCAGACTGAACTATCTCAACAACATCATTTTAACATACTGTGCATGCAGCTGTGGCTCAGGAGGTGGAGCGGATCATCCACTAACCAACAGGTTCATGGTTCGATCCCATCCTCCCCTATCTCTCAGACCTAAATGTCGTGTGGTTGAATGGCAAGACTGTTCTGGAAAGGTCTCTGAGTGGTAATCAAGAATAGAAAAGTTTATGACATTCCCCTTCAACCTCATTTGTACTTTGTGTTTATTTACAAATGTTGGATTGTTAACATGGTGAACATGTGTAAATATTATACCTGCTCAACATCATGTTTTGCAAGCATGTTGGCGGGCTGCTGTTAGCTTTTAGCTCGAAAGCTAAAGCTTTACACGTACACAGCCTCACAAGCTACTAGCATGGCTCTGGAGTGTCAGGGTATTAAGGTGCATTAAGGAGGAGTCATCTTCAGTTCAACGAAGTGCCAGTTGTGCACCCTTGTATTTAAGTGCATGTTATTTTATATCTAAATCATAATGTGCCTTTAAAATAACAGTGAAATCCTGCACCACTGATCCCAGACCTGGTTTTCGTTGCTCGATTGTGCAATCACTCTCTGCTGCCTCAAGTTAGCATTAGACCACAATGCACCTGAACACATCTCATTTTAACGCTAACATGCCTCTGGGCTATTTCAACAACATGGGTATTCAACGGGAAATGACGACTGAAAACTAGCCATGACACTTCTGTTGCACTTTTTGCCAACATTTTGTGTAAGATAAGTCTTTTCACCTAACATTACTGGCAAGGTCACAAGCATTTTCCATTTCAAACAAGATATCATTGTGGAAATATTGGCCATAATTCATTGGTTTTCAGGATGACTGCTGTTTAGTTCTGTTACAAGTGTTAGATATTTTCCTGGATCTTTAAACACTTATTTTCCGCCTGTGTGGATCTCACTGCTCTGGGATTACAGTCGATCAAGATGTCTTTGCAGTGTACAAACTGAATCTAGATGAACAAAGGTGAACTTGTTGACCAAGTGTTACACTGAGGCCTAAGGATGCCAGAAGTACTTTCTGCCATGTGTACTCAACACCACTTGCTCTCCATAACCTATGACAAGGTTTTTTCCATGCAGCAGCTGTGCTCATTGTGCCCTATAAGGACAACAACACTGGACCTGCACTCAGTGTAAAGAAGTGATCTTTCACAGCACTGGGATGTTTTTGACCTTGAAGAGTTTTACATGTTGCTCTGCCTCGAAGGAGAGAGGTCGACTGGACGTGATTAAACCCAGGTGACAACAGCCAGACATCATAGAGGAGAGACTGAAAGAAATTAGTGATGCAGAGAGATTTATGGGTAAGTGGTCACAGTTGCGGTGGTCACATGTGGTTATCTCAACAGTTGTGACTGTTCTGAATGCTTTAGATGGTGTCAGTTTACATCAGCTTGAATGGAGGAGTGATTTGGATTCAAACTGGAGTTTTATGAACCGCTCTGATCTTTATGACGGTACCTCATGTAGGCAGATAATGACCCAGCTCTTATTCCGAGGGAGCACACCGAGGTGAGGTCTTGGAAACGATTGGCTCAGTTGATCTTTTCCAGTGACTCGCTGAAGCAGCTAACACAGAACTACACGACGTGCATTGCTCAGCTGTGCAGAAGACACTCCGGTTCGTGGATGGATTACTGGATGGGTATAGCTGGCACAATGTGAAAGGGCCCAAAGGGTTAAGGGGCCCCTAAATGAAGTTACATTAATATTTCATGTTGGAATGTCCATGAGACACAATAGGACTACAGAGAGATAGAAAGTGTGATCAAGAGATGCAACATGGCTACAGAGACCTGCAATATAAAACTGAATGATGCACACAATGACCATAATGAACCTAAAAGTGGGCGGAGATACAAAACAACTGCAAACGGTCAATAATAACATTTGATTTGATATGTTATAATCAAACTAAGACGTTTGTATGAGTAGGGGGATGGTACTTCTGTCTGTTCTGTTATGTCTGTCTTTGTCCCTTTGACTCCCCTTGTCTCATAATATGTCCATATACACACGCACCCCTGCTTACCTGTTTGGTGAACAGTATGGCAGTGTCCCAGTAGTCAGGGTGCTTGTCATTGTGTTTATTCAACTTCTTCTGCCAGGAGCAGAAGTTGCGCAGAGTCAAGGCTGCATTACTGGAAACCTTTGGTCCCTTGTTGGCCTCATTTATCACCATGAAGCCCACCACCACTATGTTTATGGAGTTGAAGATGCTGGGGTGTTTGTAAAGCCTGGCTGCTACCGACATCAGGGTCAGGAGATAATGCTTCAGGTCATCCCCGTGAAATTTAGCCATGGATTCATCTGCCACCACCAGCACCTCCACAAACCTGGGGATGGAGGCGAACCTTTTTGACCTGCCTAAGGTTTTCAACACAGTTTCAGTGAAGTCATCATTATCCGGTTCGCCCACATGCTTGTATTTCTCCAGGGAGACGGTGAAGCTGGGATCAGGTGTAACTCCACACCTGCTGGTGAAGTTGCCGCTCGAGTGCGCATCAGTGCGTCTCCTGCGACGGATGACATGCGTCCTGTCGAAATAGTTTCTGTATCCAGACGCGGCTGCTGCGTCTTCAGCTCTGTGTAGGCTGATGAAATACTCCATTCCCCTGTAGGAGAACCCTCCGTGGAGACCTTTGCACAGGCTGACAGCGGCAAATGAGTCCGGATCTCTGTTGACATCACCTGAGTAGAAACATTCCCTGAGGTCTGCCGCTTCAGACGCGTTAGGTGCCAAAGGGCCCCTCTCAGGGACCAAGGTGCCCGGAGCAAGAAAACTAGAATCCGGTGCGAGTCTGAGGTAAAATTCCTGTTTGAAAGCAGTTAATCGAAAAACACTCTGTCTTTCATTCATCTGCAGATGCTTCTCATCATCTTGGAGATCCACGCGTTCGGGTGTAAAGAAATCTACCTCCATGCAACATGTTTGCTTCAAATACAAAAAAGAATGTATAAAAACAATCAGACAGTGAATGAGTGAAGCCATCTCTGCTCCTCGGGAAAGTCCACAGTGTAATTCAGCTGCGGTGCGCAATGAGCACAAACGTCCTCAGAAAACTAAGCAGCCGCTCTGCCTCCTCAGCTTCTTCCTCATCCTGCACCGTTTCTACTCTGACCTCCAACTTCTCTGAGCCTCGGAGCTCAGTCACTGAAATCTGTCTGTGTGCGCAACACAAAGCTCACTGGTCATGCGTCTCGGTTTGTGCTGCAGCCACTTAACTCTCCAAATATTATTGTTGCTGTACAGCATGTGCGACAGGAACCGGAGCATCATCATCATCCCTCCTCCCACAGCCCGGACTAACACACACACACACACACACACACACACACACACACACACACACACACACACACACACACACACACACACACTGTCTCAAACAGGAACTTTAAACTGTAACATTGATAAAGTAACCTTGCATTTCCTTTGTGTGCATATTTGTCCAAACTATATTTCATCAAAAGCACCCACATTCATTTAATTTAAATGTTGTAAGCAGACGCGTCAGTACGCTCATCTCATGCAGAGGACGAAGCCCAGAGGAGACATGTGAAGTTATATCCGGGCAAAGAGCGACACCTGTTTGTGCCTGAAGTCGTCTGGAGCATCAGTGGATCTGTGCGCGTGAACAGGTTGGTTATGCTCTGGCGCCATCTGTCGGTTAACGAGTTAAGCTGCGTCCCAAAGGTTTATTTCCTTCCCTTTAAACACTCACATTGTCTTTCCTCTGGCACACGGTGTGAATACAGTTAAATTAAATGTATCTAATGTCACAGTTTTGCATGGAAAAAAGAATTCCTTCATATGGAACAGTGTCCAATGTGCAGTACGAATTTAGATTATTTTTTTAAATGAACACACTGGATTATTATTGGTTTTAATGTTTGAAGTTTATTTGCGTAATTGCTCGTTTCGTTAAAGAAAACATAAATGATCTATTTGGGTAAAGAGCAAACAGATGATTCCCTGATCCATAACTTTCACAGGATCCATAACTTCCAAAAACACACAATGAGAAGACGATATTCTTCTTATGGCTGCACCAGTGTATGTGTGTGTGTGTGTGTGTGTGTGTGTGTGTGTGTGTGTGTGACTCAGGGATAAGTCGAGTAGCGGACTTCCAGCTATGCATAGTATTGATGTCCCGTCGCTGCCGCACAGCCTGCTGGGTTAATAATAGGAGCGCGGTTGTCAGGCTGTCTCGGAAGGGGGGAGTGTCGACCTATTCTCATTGGATCCGTTTTGTCCGCGAGTTTTCTCCAGAAGTGCGAGTGGGAGGAGATTTTCCAGGATATCAAAAATAAACCCCCCCATGTCGAAGGAAGAGCAGAAAGTATAAATACCATCGATGTGTCCAGACTACAGCGGTGCTGCTGAGCGGTACAACAAGACTCACTGGCTTTGGGAATCAGACAGGACGACTCAGACTGACATTAAACAGCAGACAAACTTTGACTGAGACTGACTCCTCTGCGCTGGGAAATCACTTTTCATCCGAAGACAGCTCTGACTTTGATAAAACACTGTCTCGATTGGAGAAGGTGCGCCACTTCCCAGAGATAAAGGACATACATTGTTATCAGTTCTTTAATTTTTACACCACTTCTTAAAGCTATTCATCCTGTAGAAGATGTGTTGCACTGTGCGCTTACTCGTTTTATCCATGTGCGTAATGAACGCGGCACTCTCCGCTCCATTTGAATCAGAGGATGTTGTACCTGTTCGGATAAACGCAAGAACGAGCGGTCGTTTTTGGAAAAGAAGCGAGGATCAGCCGAGATTTGTCCTCAGAGCCTTTGGCAAGGACTTCACTCTAAATCTTGTACCAGACACCAGCTTTATCGCTCCGTCCTTCACCATACAGCGAATCAGGGCCAGAGATGCTGGCGCTTTACGCAGCGCTTCAGGTGCCAAACCTGCGGTGCACCCAGACCTCCAGATGCTCGCAGGCCAGACAGAGGACAGTGATGGGCACCTGAGGGGCTGCTTTTACTCTGGGGACGTGGGTCACGATCAAAATTCGCTTGTGTCTGTTAGTTTGTGCTCCGGCATCTTCGGCTCCTTCATCACAGAGGGGAAAGAGTATTTAATTGAGCCCAAACTTATCGGCGGCCGAGGGCCAGACTCTACCGAGCAGCTGCATGTCATCAAGAGGAGGACATTCGCCAGAGGCCACGGTGCTTCCCTGCTGTATGACCACGCTGAGGAGGAGAACCGAGCGGAGAAGCTTGACGGGGAAAGTTTTACGCACGGCGACAGTGACGCACGGAGGGAACCTCGCAGGAGACGCTTTGTTTCCGCGCCACGGTTCATAGACACCCTGGTGGTAGCTGACTCAACCATGACCCACTTCTATGGAGATGAAATAAAGGTCAGGCACCATGAACTCATTCTTTCCTGCACGCACCGTTGATATGAATCTAAACAAACCCTATTTATATAACCCTATATATATATATAAATATATACTCATTTAGACTGTCCCATAAACAAACTCCTGCAGACGTCACTCTTTTTTATTTCTTTCCACATTTCGTTTGTCAGGTTTCACAGCCTAGAAAATATATAGTGGCATTTGTTTTTCCTGTGCTGCTTCATATGACTGTTAAGGCAATGAGGGGGCTTGGGAGGAAATCGAAGGGCTCCCTGTTTTTCACAGACTGAGAAAGAGGTCAGGCAACAGAAATGCAAGCAATGCTGCACTACATTCCTCAGGACTTGGTCATGATTTGGCTGCATATCATCAGCATCATCCAGGGAAGATTCACAAGGCTTACAACATCTGTTCTCCTCTGTCTTTACCTAATTTTATAAATTCGTTAAATGGACCATTTTCCGCTGCCTGTAATATAAACCTTCCAATATTTAAATGCATCAGAATTTAATGGATTGAGTCTTTATATGGAAGATCATGTGAAACCATCCCCCGTAACTAATATAAGTCCTGGTTCCAATCAGTGCTAAACCAAAGGCATTTATTTATTTAAACAAAAGCTAGGACAATCCGTGATCTTGCCACAATCTGCAGCAGCCAAATTGTTGTCTGTTTGTACTTAAAAAGCTCCTCAGCTGCCAAACGCAGCCTCACAACACAGTAAGTCCCAGGCAACCAGGCACCAGGGTCAAGTGGATAAAAGTTAGGCTGAAAGATAAGGCTTATGTTGGCTTTTCCTAAATCAGACAGGCCTGTTTTGATTTCCATTCATGTGACAATGATTTTTTGATGAGCAGGGGTGGTTTTAGAGATTTTCAGGCCCCAGGAAATTACCAGAGCACATTGCTCTACGAAAATCTTTTCATTGGAGAAAATCATACCACCTGAGAAATAGCGATTTCAGCAAGGCTGGTGGAAGACTTTACAAAACACAGCATGGCACGATTCCCTCTACATTCACTGGGATTTATGAGTGGTCCACTGTAAGTCATAGAATCATGTGGAAACTACAAAGTCACTTAGAATAAGCTGTATGCCTGACTGTGTGGAGTTCATTCTTAGCATTAGAGCGTCACAAGCGTAAAATACCACCAAACTGCTGACTCTCTGTTTTTAGCTCTGCTCATGCTGTTAACTCTCGTAAAAACTAGGGGTCAGAAAGACAGGCAACAGAAAGAGCAGGCAGAAAAAACTCCTCTCCTCCAGCAGCAGAGACGCAAGGCACAGGTCCGTGCTTTAAGGACCAATGACATCGCCTTTGAGTAACGTTTCCATTTTAGGAGACAGAAATTCCCCCACATTAGTAATGATTCCCAGTTATTGAGTTCTTAGTTATTTCACAAGACATTTTTATTTCTGCTCTTGGTTAAATAAAATAAAATAACAAAGCTCTATACATGCACCTTTTCACTTTTGATAACACGTGATACAGTTGGTCACCATCATTCAGTTTCTCAGAGAGCACCGACATGGTTTATCTTAATTTGATAAATTGCTTTCACCCTATATCTTGAGCACTGTTCTTTAATGAAGGGTTCTACAAATATAACTTGAATATTTAGTTAGGTTTGAGTCTCTAGAGGCAGAAACACAAGCATAGTACAAATGCAAACATATCTGCACTGCCTGATCATCAGCCATTTGACTTTTATCTGAAGGTCAATGTGCATGGAAGTTGAATTAAATAATTGTTCTTTTCCTTTCTCTCCTCCTCCATAGCACTACATTCTGACCCTGATGTCCATGGCAGCCCAGCTGTACAAGCATCCCAGCATAAAGAACTCCGTTAACATCGTGGTGGTGAAGATGTTGATAGTGGAGGATGAGGAGGTCGGCCCTGAGGTCTCCAGCAACGGAGGTGTGGCCCTGAGGAATTTTTGCTCCTGGCAGCAGCTCTTCAATCCACCGAGCCTCCGGCACCCAGAGCACTATGACACTGCCATGCTGTTCACCAGAGAGGTGAGGGACAAGCACAGACCTGGTCTAGCTTCCTCATACAGTTGCAGAATGGTTTTCACAACATCTGCAATTAAACCTAGTAGCAACTGCACATAAAGGTGTAAATATGAAATGTAAGAGTTTCACCATAAAAGAAAATTTTTCCTCTGTGGGTGCGGTGCTCAGTTGCCATAGAAACATGGACAAGCGACTGAATTAACACAGGAAAACTGACATCAGCTGAATTTAAATACTGACCCAAAACGATCACAGCTGTTTACTGAGAATGGGTCAACGGTTATTGGCCAGGAAACTGACAGGAGAAGAGTCACAGAGGACATTCACGTCAAACCAAAGATGCCATCCTTGAAGGCAAAACCCAAATATTTGTTAACATTTCTCTTTGTCTGATGCAACAGTCGGTTTAGTTGACTGTCAAACTCAAAAGCTTTTGTTGGAGTTATGCTCCCAAAGAAAAAACTATGTGTGGCATCAGGTTTCAAGACAGTGACTTTGATAGAGCTCGATCGTCAGGCTTCTCTGCAGAGCATGGTTTGGACTATTAACTGCATGAAACAATGCATACAATGTTGTAAAAGTTATTAGAATGGAAAGTCCACTCATCCATGCTAGTCTGGCATGCTTTGTTCATTCAGAAAGCAATAACACAGATGACTCATGAATTAAGCCCTTGTGGAACTCAGTCTCAGGCCAGCTGCGGTACATGCTGTGGTTTCAGAAGCATCACACTCGACCACACACCAGTTTCTTGAAAACAGAGTTTCATACAGTAACA